AGTGTCATGTCCCCCCTCCCAAAACTCGCGCACTTATTTTGGAACGGAGGGAGTATACTACTACGTAGTAGTATCCTTCGCGGTACTACTGTAGTATTTACTCTGTCTCCATGAGGTAACGAATCTCGTTGAATCATCAATCATTTCGTCACTCTTGCCTGTCTCATCCAACAGATGGAGGTACATAGCGCTGTACTCCCCCGGATGGACGACCAAAAAATGGCCTGTTGTAACGCGCCTGCTCAACCAGAGGCGGTGTGTAATCTTCGGTTTTTACTTCGCTCAACGCTTCATACCTCGTCCTTCTACAATCTTCTTCGAAGTTCGGTCCTCGTCTTCGTACGCGGCCCTTGTTATCCGGATTCCCCAGGAGGAACGGATAAATCCTTGCGAATAATGGGGATCGAACCCACGACCTTTGAGTAAAGAAACCGATGCTCTACCACCTGAGCTTTTCCCACCACATGGGGTAAGGAATACGAGTGTGCAAAGTCAGCAGCGGTAGTCGCAGTTATGCTGTACTAGTAGTAGTTGAGCACGAACCTATGAATCCTCACGTCTTGCAATGCACCACTGCATTCCTTTACCTTGTTCATCTTGAAAGTCATCCACTGTTTTGCCCTCCCACACTTCAAAGTGACCACAGTCCAGACAATATTTGTCTGGATAATGGACATGCGGAAAGTATCAACTCAACGTAAATGACTGGTTCAAAGTACAATTATTTCAGCCAATTAGGTACCACTCCGTCCCAAATCACTTTGTACTACTCTTCTAACGCTATCAGTAAGTAGTACTTCGAAGTACAAAACGTGACAGTTCGAATTCGCCAATGGGTAGTATACAGATGGAGGGCACCATACGACTGGAACTAATTCCTGACGAAGGCCAATCACAACTAACTACCTGGTACGTCTACGAGTACTCTATTCCATATGCCGACTTTACAGTATTTCGTCGAGATGGGTTGGTGGATGCAGACACCTTGGTATTCCTTATGGGAATCCGGTTGGTTGCGTTGGACGACTTGCACGCCTGGTCTTCACTTCAATGGTCGACATTTTTGGTCGACATTTTTAGCCAAACTTCATTTTCCGTTTTGCTCTACGATGGTCAAAGTCCTCATCGCCCTCAGCGTGTTGGCCGCTGCCGCTACGGCTGGCTCCGTCACGGAACTCCCCGAGTCTGTGACCAAGCTCATCGACTACTCCATCAACCCCTGCGACGACTTTTACCAATACGCGTGTGGCGCGTGGTACAAGGATGCTGTGATACCCCCGGACAGTCACAGTATCGATCCGTCGTTCACCAAGATCTACGTCCAAAACGAAGCCGTCTTGAAGAAGATTTTATCTGACAACAAGCCCAAGCTTGGCGAGTTTTACAACTCCTGTTTGGACACGGTTACTCTATCGTCGCTCGGCCTGACTCCCCTCGAGGACTCGTTCAAAGCCATTCGGTCGGCCAACACCACGTTGGACCTCCTCATCGTGGCTGGTGAATTGGTCAAGAACGGCATCTCTGCCTTCGTGGACATCGTCTCCAGAGCTGACGACAACGATTCGACCAAGAACGCCCTCTTCGGTTACCCAGCCTCCCTGACGCTGCGTCGCACATACTACACCATCCCTTCCGAGTGGGAGATCGTCGAAGCCGACTACAAGGTGTACATTGCGTCGGTGTTGCAGCTAGCTGGCTACACTGCTGAGAAAGCGGCGGCTGCCGTGCCGTTGATCATCCGGTTCGAGCAAACACTGGCCGGTCTCGCCCTCAGCGAGCTCGAGGAGAAGGACGCCGATGTGCCTCAGTATACTGCGTTTACGTACTCCCAACTGGACCAGAAATACCCTCTGCTTGTGGGCTCGTGGCTCAAAGCCCACGGCTTCGACATCTACGACCAGTGGGGTGGGTCGAATGACTGGGTGGGGTTTAAGGACTTGACCTACTTTGACAAGACCGAAGAGTTGCTGAAGAATACGACGCTGGACAACCTCCGCACCATCGTGGAGTACAAGCTCATCCATGCCTCGTCGAACCACTTGACCCCTGAATTCCGCACGGCCAACTGGAACTTCATCGGCAAGAAGATCTATAAAGAAAAGGCGGAACCTTCTCGTGAAAAGTTCTGCAGGGATGACACGGAGGACAATTTGGGGGAGATCTTGGGTCAGTATTTCTTAGACGAGGTGTTCTCGGCTGATGCGGCCAAGACGGCTGACGAATTGGTCAAGGCCTTGAGGTCGTCCTTCTCCACTGGTATTGCCACCGCCGACTGGTTGGACAACTCAACCCGCGCCACCGCGCAAACGAAGCTATCCAATTTTGTACACTTTTTGGGTGGCCCGGAGAAGCCGCAGCTGTACCCCACGCTGACGTTCGACTCGAAGTCGTATTTGAAGAACCGGTGGAAGGTGTCTCAAGTGAAAATCGACACCAACTTAAAGCTGAACGGTCAATCTGTGGACAGGCGCAAGTTCGACCTCTACTCCCATCACGTGAACGCGTATTTCAGCCACGGCAAGAACCAAATTGTGTTCCCGGCCGGCATTTTGCAAAAACCATTCTTTGACGGCCAGTTTGACGCCGCCCAGAACTTTGGTGCCATCGGGATGATCATCGGACACGAAATTACCCACGGGTTCGACAACAAAGGCCGCACTTTCGATAGCCATGGCAACTTGAAACAGTGGTGGTCGAACGCCACCAACGATGCGTTCACGACGAAAGCCCAGTGCATTAGCGATCAATACTCCAACTTTGTCGTCAAGAGCGAAGTGAATGGCACTGTATTGGGCAACGTCAGCGGCAAGATCACTTTGGGCGAAAACATTGCGGACAACGGAGGGCTGAAGACTAGTTTTCGCGCGTACCACGAGTACTTAAGGGAGTTCCCGTCGCAGTACACGGAAGAAGCAGGCAACAAGTTGTTCTACTTGTCGTTCGCCCAAGCCTGGTGCTCCAAGAACACGGATACCTACCTCCGCGCGACTTTTAAGTCGAAGTACCCGCCCGAACGGTTTCGCGTGACAGGGGCGTTGCAAAACAACGCTGAGTTTGCCCGTGTTTTCCAGTGCCCCACCGACTCGAACTTGAACCCGTCCAAGAAGTGCTTGTTGTGGGAATAGGGTTGATCGATACGAAAATATGTATCTCGCGTTGTGCATTTGTAAGGGAAAACTAAGAAAACGATGTCTTGGTTGAAGTGTGTTGCTCTCATATGCCACGCACACAAAAAACACGCCACTGCGCTAGTGTGCTGGCAGGAGAATGGCGCTTCGCGCATGAAATACAATATCACTTACCTCGATCACTTACCTCGAAACAACATCCAAATGTGTACGCAAGAACGTGCCCCACGTAGAGCATTGAAACATCGGAACCCCGACGCTCTGGAACCTAAATTAGTTAGGTTGAAGTGTACTGTAGTCTTCATTTTTCGGGGTTTGGGTGCATCGCCAGTGGTTAGCTAACGCTAAACTCCGGCAATGCGCCGATCACCTCCCGATAATCAGAAGCTGCGAATGGCCGCGCACCCCCACGCAGATACAGCGAACGTTCAAGGCGCGACGAACTTCTGGTCATTGTGGCCTCCAATGCGAATTCGCAATGTTGCAAATCGATTTCACGTAGCGACTTCATCCCGTTACATAGTGTTGCACTGCGAAAATCCTGTTAGGCATATTTTGACCATTCAGTGTTTTTCCAAATATTGTGCTTTCGAGTGAAATTTCGTGTTGTGGCGTGGTTTCTCGTTGGAAATTAAATCGATTTGATTGGCTACTTCAGATGAGCTCAAAATTATTCACCAATCAAAACCTTCTCAATGAAATTCAACCAACCAGATCGATTGTGGATCGGTTTGGTTGGCGCGATTCGATTGCACCCCCTCCCTAAATTTGTATCAAATCGACAATGCATGATCTTGATTAAAGTATGCTGGATTATATTGACCTCAAATTTCATCTTGATTAAACTATGCAAGATTATCTTGACTGCGATTTTTATCTTGATTAAACTATGTGACATTTTTTAGGCTTCGGACAGACAATTAATCTCGTGGGGAAATTCTACCAGTTATAACAATGTATATGTGAGATCATCCTCGGAATTCGTCTAAGTTAGTTATTTTGGGTCATGAACTTGAGATAAAGTTTATTACTAGACGGGTTTGGTACATGCACAACATCGGGTTTGTAAGGTTGGGATTGCACTGTAGTTGTTGGGTCATGAACTTGAGATAAATTCAACTACTCGACGACATCAAGTTTGTGTGACGGAGCTAGAGCATGGGCTTGTACAACTATACCACATCGTGGTACCACCATCACAAAGGTAGGTATATTATTCGATGGGCCGTCTTGCTTTTTATTCTACACGACCCTTTCCCCAACCCACACCTCTCGTGATATCATTGACCCCCAAGCCTTTTCGG